TTCTATATTCAAGCCTGAACACTACAAATGTCGGTTAACACCTTCAAATATAACATACATGCATTTAATCATCTATGTTTCAGTTTTAAATTTCAATTGTACCTTTCTGAGATTAACTACCTCAACTGCCACTTGAACTGTCTAACGATGAAGACACCCAATACAACACACTCTAGGTCATGGATTATAACAGGGCGAAATATTAACACTTCATCCTTTTGACTTATTGCTAGATGCGCATATAATGCATCTACCAAAATCATGGTGATGAATAAAGAATTGAACAAACAAATAATAGAAATGACTGGGAAGTTACAGGGACTAAAAGGAAAAAACAAAAAAAAATAATCATTTAATTTGCTTACATAAGAAACAATAAATATTCAATTTTCGTTTCGGTGAATATACTGTAAATTAATATAACAGTTTATAAATTTCGTGCGTTTAAAAAAGAGAGGCGAAGGACATCAATGTAACATTCAAACTCGCAAGTCAAAAACAAAAATGGCAACGCCATGGCTAAAAAGAAAAAATGCAAACATACAACAGTACACAAAACACAACATAGGAAAACAAAAGATTGAGCAACAGAAAACAGTTTTTTTTTCTAGACTCACCTCATCCTTAACCTTAACATTCTTTGGGGAAGCTATGGATATTTGACAGGAGGTATATATTTGTCAACCGAAACCGAATAGTCAAATCCATCCAGGGTCAACTTTCAATGAGGGAGTGGGAATATTCGTTTCGTTGTTATTTATCAGTTGTAACTAATAATGTGGTCAATTCTAAACAACGGGGAGTTTAAAGCTTTCCTGTTGAAATAGTTGCGTTCATTTAACTCCGGGGGATATTTACTGAATGATAGAAATGAGCCACTGCAATAATTAGCAGCTATTTAAGCAGCTTTATAAATCATAAGGACAAAGGAAATTATATCTAACATACTGTTCTATCAAAAATATCTGAATTTAGCAGATATCAGTATTATTTTAAGATGCGATGTAAACCGCAATCATCAGGTCTATTTCAAGATTTAGGACTTTGGTTTTGGTAAAAACAAATATAGAGGTAGGGTATATGTATATTGTTATGTTATTCATAGGAGCATGCAACTTTCTATCAATAATAGGTACATGTATAAGTGCTGCTTATTATACTTCCAGTCTTTTTTTTGTGTTTAATTTGTAATTGCTGTGCTTTAATGTTTAATGCTGCTGCTTTAAGGCTACTTTTAGTTTCGTGCTCATACATTTTTATAATGTATAATTAAGTTAGTTCTGCCGTACTTAACTGTGCATGGAATATGTGTTTGATGAGTTTTATCCTTTAATATCGGTATTGTGTAGGTTTATTGTGTAAATGTATGTATTTGTCGTTGATAAAAGCTCGTGTTAGATTATGTAACATGCCGACTTTAAATAAAGCTTTTGAATTTGAATTGAATTTGTATTCAAGCTTTCTTCTTGTATAATTAAGTTAATTGTATAAGATCAACCCCCCTTTTTTATTATTTAGCCTCGACAATACATTTAACAATAAATTCAACCACATAACAACATAACCGTGAAATCTGAACCATAATTAGGTCAAACTGTTTTAATAATTTTTATAAATTGTGTGGATTTACCTAGGTGGAAGGCAAATGTATTGAACCTTGATTAATTTAAATGTTTATGGTTCGTGTTATCATATGCACATTTGATTTGTGTGAATAATTTATTGATATCAAGTAGTCAAAAACAATCATAAATTTCTTAGACAAACTCTGTGTAAATACATATTTTCAACCACAGCTTTACAAACGATACCCGTAAAATTTAAATATAACCAATATTCGAATTATGACTTGTTTTGGTTTACCGCCTTAGAGATACTATAAATATAATGTTAATGATCACATGACTTATCAACTTCCTTCTTGATCGTTTTGGTTTTGAAGAGCAAAAGAGGTAAATCTGAGGCATTATTTGTTTTTAACTGTCGATTTTACGTTGAACCTGTAGCAAAATGTTTTTTGCTACTTCCCATACGTGATAAGTTATCTATTTAAGTAAACTTTTCCTACAATTTTGGTTCAATACATTGCCTTTTTCACCTTTTGTGTTGATAAGTTCAATATATCTTTTTGTTTCTTTGTGCCTTGTTGCTGTCCTTTGACATCGCTCACACAGAATAATATCTATGTCGTTTCTGCCTATTCTTCTTTCCGAATGTTGAAAAACATTCGACGTGGAGTCCATGTTAAAGTTTGTGTTTGAGTTTAATTATGTTTCAATTTCCCTTTTTGCAACCAGTCGTCTGATTCGTCTTTGTGATATCTTTTCTATGCAGTTTGTCTGGTACCTTCTACATGGGAACTGAAATGGGACAGTAGGTATCCTAATGAGCCACTTAAAGTAATACGTCGTGTTTGTTACATTTTTAGAACAGCAATAGATAAAAAAAAAGTCCTTTCAAAATATCAACTGTATGCGTGTTTTGTCTACATAATACTCTAAATTTGTCTACATTAAACTAAAGTTTTGGTTACCGTCTGTTAAAGTCATGAAGTCAAATGGCTATCTTGCAATTAATATTAGCTAAAAATGTTTTCTATGTCATGTAGTATTTCCTTTTTATGATTTTTATGTTTTGTTTTGTAACAAAGATTTGAGAATATTTGGAGAGTATTCAGTACAGTTGGAGAAGTTTTAGTTCACTTGTACAAATTTTGGAGATGATAGATTTATAAGTATTAGGTTAAGGTTTTTGTTGTTTTTGGCAGACCCTTGATAGATTCAGAGAAAATTGTGTTATATTAATAATATTTTAAACTAATTAAACGGAATGTAATAAGATTTGTTGTATTGTGTTGCGTTAAGTACGGTCCACTTTTGGAGGTTATGTGCCTATAGCCTATATAGGTCTCCAACATGTTTACATTTGATTTGAATTGTAAATTATATATTATGTAAATATTCATCTAGATTGAAATTATAAAAACACTAATAAGTAGATTGACCCGTATATTATCATATTTAGTCATTCGACTACGCATTACCGGTTATTCTGTCGTCATATTGTCCGTCAATTCAATGTACCTTCACCTGAAAGTTTTGTTATAGTCGACAGTCAAGGCAATTTTGTGATATATCATCATGTCATTTGATTATTTATCAGTCATCGAAAACACTCAATTTGTAAAACTAATATAAGGCTACAGAAAATATCCAGTTGTCATAAAGATGGATTTAATTGTTATATAACATACAAAGACAAATGTGGATATGAAAACTAAAACAACTTCGTAGCAACGGTTTTTTTCTTAGGACACATTTTACCTTATCTTAAACCCTCGGGACAATGAAAGTTTGAAGGCTTATAAAAATCAGTCTATTTATTGTTTGACTGGCTGTTTTCTTGATAAAAAATATTTTGCCTAATGGAGTGCCGGCAGGGGCGGATCAATAACCATGGTATGTGGCGGGGGTAGGGGGGAAGGGTGTCAATGAAACCAAAATTAAATATTCGTTTTGACATTTTTGCCCATTATTCTCTTATCTGTAAACCTCCTCCATACCTTCATAAATGGGCACCCATTCATAGCCTCCTACATGGTAATTGAAACTTGAAAAATATTCATAATATATATTAATGAATCTTTGGACTAATAGATAGATGTATAAGTCCAAGATAAACTTTAAAAGTATGTCTTATAAAATACAATAGGGTTTTATTACTAGTATTGAATGTACACAGCAGATACAAAAAGATGTCAATGAGGGTGAATTTTATTGATTTTGATTAACTAAATACAAAAATATCGGCCGGTATCCGGTTTAAAGGGGTGCTGGTTTTATAAGGTTACATGACCTTTTAATTGAATGCAAATGGGCCGGGACTTCTTGATTTGGCCGGTATGGGGGGAGAACCGGTATTCAGAGGGACCGGTTTAGAGATGTTCACTGTACTAGACAATGTCAATCCAATCCCTTTTTGTGAAAAGTGGAGATGGCAAATTAGGTTTTTTTTAAACAAATTTTTGGTTTCCTATGAAATAAGCTTCAGAGAGAAAAGAAATACGACATTCATTATTACAAAAAAAAATCTTGTACGATATTGGAGAAAAATAGTTTGATGTTGAGTAAAGTCACAAAAAAGACAGTTTCGAAAAATAATAAATTCACTAGAAATGGTCATGTCATTATATTGATATGAAGACATATTTTATATATCAATACCAACATTCTTGTTATTAAACATCTATTTGTACATATTCTTTCAAAACACAGATTGCAGTTAGTAATTTCTTTCCTGATAAGAAGATTTCACCTGTTAATCGATCTTTATCTATGATATTGTAATAAAAACAAATAAAAATATTCGACGTAATCAAATTAACATGTACATGTAATTTACATAAACTCTCTTGATAAGAGACATTACACACAGGTGTCAATATTTACAAACCCACCGATAATTTGTCATCAATCACGCATGTTGACGCTGGGGTTAGTCAAAGACCATTTCGAGATGTTAAATGAAGATGTATGTTCATTTCAGTTCTAGATAAGCAGATTCAGTAGCAATAAAATTATGTTAGAAATGTTTTTGATGACCTGGACTGGGGAGGGGGTACATGCCCCCTGTGCCCCCAGTAAATCCGCAACTGAATGTCAGTTAATCTTTGGAAATAGCTGCAGGACAAAAACGTATAATTACGCAGAATAATTAAACGGCACCGTTTGTCTATCTTAGCAATGGTGTAAATGAAAACATTGCTGAAAATTGTTTTTCATTTGTAATTTGTTCGTTTAAGTATCGAGATGAATTGATTTTTTAACAATTGCACACATATACACATAGGTTTACTTCTAATTCACAATTGAACAGAAATAGATAAAGATTCGGATAAACACTCAAGAGTTCAGACTGAAAAAAGAATTGACTTAAAAAACAAAAAAATGAAAACTTTATTAGTACGGTTTTATATTTACTTCATTTTACATTTTATACAGAAGCATGGCCAGTAACGTTCGTGTATGTGGTGTCTGTGATCATCGTCACGTTACCAAACCATCAGTAGTCTGGTGTTCCGAATGTGATGAAGGACTTTGTGAAGATTGTAAGGAACATCACAGCTTTTCTAAGATTTCACGAAATCATGAAACGATCAAAATTACTGAATATATGAAGATACCAGCAAATATTTTGCAAATAGCGCAATTTTGCAACAAACATAATGAAAAATACGACCTTTTCTGTAGAAAACACGATTGTCCATGCTGTAGGAAATGTGTCGAGGATCACAACGACTGCAAAGATTTAACTGATATCAGGAATATGATACACAATGTAAAATCGTCAACTGCGTTTCAGGAAATCGAAAATACCTTGTCAGAAACCGCCGAGAATATCAAAAGATTACGTATGAATCGTGAGGAAAATTTAGAATCACTTGCAAAGAAGAGAAAGATTGTTGAATTGGAAGTTCAGCAATTTCGAAACAAAATAAATGAAAATCTTGATAAACTTCAAAATGATATTTTAAAAGAAATTAAAGTGGTGGAAGAAAAAGAAAGTAGCAAAATCCGAAAACTACTGACGTCATTATTGCACAGAGAAAAGGAGATTTTCGAATACAAAGTTAATATCGAAAATACAAAGCGATATGCATCGGATTTACAATCATTTATTGCGATGAAACAAATAGAAAAAGATATTGTTAAAGAAGAGAGTTATATTCAATCAATCTACAAAGGCGAACAAATGCATCAAATCAATATATCGTGTACTATAGAAACAGCATTGCAGGAATTAACCACTTCCATGAAGACGTTTGGAGAGATAATTGTGAGTTCCAGTGCATGTAATATACCCATCCAGAAAAGGAGAAATAAACAAGCACAGATAATTGTACCTCCTCGAACAAATAAGTTTGATAATGTTAGTCTAAAATTAATGCAAACAATACAAACAAACTTTTCAAACGTTCGAGGGTGTACCTTTCTCCCTGATGGTAAAAGGGTATTTTCGTTTCATACTGGCAGAGTAATGTTTTTCAAGCCAGACGGTTCAATTGATTTTAATCTTAACACAATTGGGCCCGTTTGGGACGTAGTTTATATAGGAGAAACTTCTGTAGCTGTTACATCAGGTGGAACTACAAATTCAAAACAGATCAGCATAATCGATGTCGAAAACAGAAAAGTGAAAAAAACATTGAACGTCAATTCCGCCAATCACGGAGTAACATTCAAAGATGGAAAGTTGATTTATTGTGCTAGTAAGAAGGGACTAAAGATGATCAGTCTCAGTGATGAATCTATAACCAATATCACCACTAGTAAAATGTCAAGTCAGGCTAACGTAGCAACCCACGGCGACAAGCTGTTCTATACAAACGAAAAAAATCACAATGTCACCTGTTGTGATATCCATGGTAACACACTGTGGACATTTAGCGAAAGCAGTACTCTGTCCTATCCATTCGGTATATCTGTCGACAATGATGGGAATGTATATGTAGCGGGAGCATTTTCTCACAATGTGGTCATTATCTCCCCAAATGGCCAACACCATAGACAACTATTATCGAAGAAAGATGGACTGATGTTTCCAATCGCTGTAGAGTACGACCGATCGCACAATAAACTACTAGTTACCAATGAAGATTCAAACGCTTTCGTGTATGATGTTATATAAGCGTTGTTTAATACCATCTAATTCATATTTCAGTTCTCGTAATAATGCTTGTCACATGTGGATTCTCTTTCAGTCGACAAAGTATATTTAGTTTAGGGTTTCGTGACATCTAAGTAAAATTCTTAAGCTTATTTTGTTTTAATAAATGTACTGCAAAACTTAAACCTGGCATATTGTTATCCTTGAATCGCATAAAAGGGTCAACACGCATTCGTGTATAATGTCGTATGAGGATTAATTAAGTTTAGTATTAAGTTTTGGTTTCGAGCTAGTCGGGAGGTGGTATAGACTTTGGTATAGACTTTGTAATATGATTTAAACAAATTTGAGACATAAAGCCAACAAAGCGTTCAAAATTTTAAATGTTTATAGATGTTGTTTTTTTTCTAAAATGAAATTTTAAACATTATAAAAATTAAAAAAGGTATTTTTCTTACAATTTACAGTATCCCAGATCCGTTATATTAATAATGAAGGCAATTCCAAATACCAGTATGAAATTATATTAAATTAATGATATATTTTTCAGCGTATTAAAATATGTGTCCTTATTAAAGAGAGACGACAGATACCAAAGGGACATTCAAATCATAAGTAGAAAATAAAATGAAAACGCCATGGCAAAAAAAAAAAGAAAAACAACAATACAAAAATTACAACAGAGAAAACTAAAGACTGAACAACACGAACCCCACCAAAAACCAGGAGTGATCCCAGGTGATCCAGAAGGGTACGCATATCCTAATTCACATGTCGCACCCGTCATGTTGCTCATGTAAGTACAAACCCGGTAATAAGTCTTATTCGATAGGTCACATTCGGCATTGTGTGTATTATAATTGGAACATATCCATCGTCATCTGTGAAACAGATATTCCATAAAACGGTCAATCAAATCGTGATGGCGTCTGTAAAATTTACCGCAAAATAATTTCAACTTCACCATTTGGATCTCTTAGTGTAATAGCTTCCTTGTCAACATCAACCCTCTTTAAAGGAAATCATGATAGGAAATATAATCCCTGGAATGAAAGACATGAAAATATATCAAACAGGCAAATGAAACATAAGTCGAAGATTGTCAACACAATTCAGAAAAGACTGTTTTAAAAACCAATCAACATTACAAATAAAACACAAAAATATATTCAAAAATAAAACAGTGATGATTCAGGTGCTCCTGAAGCTTTTATTCTCCTACCTTTGTTATCAATTTCTTGATGTAAATCAAGTTATAGGATAGACAGGCTGTCTAATGAAGTATGTTTCAAGTTCAAGGGAATTGATGTCAACATAGTCATCGAACTTCGAATTATTTAGTGAGAGTGCTGCATCTATATGGCGGAACGTAAAGTTAAATGATAGTGCTAGCTTCTTTTTATTCTTTCTAAGAAGTTACTGTATGAATTGTATATCGTATAAATAAAGGGAAAAGTCGGCAATGAGAGGAGCATAGTTGGTTCACAAGGTTCTCAAATCTTTTTGTGAAATACAGGTTGTCTCGAATGTGATATTTATTCAATAGAAGGTATTGTACGATCATTACACGGAATTTTTCATGTAAAACAAAATAGATTGTTATCTCGTAGATGGCAGACACCATAGAAAACTATTATCTGGGAAAGATGGACTATTTCATCCATCAGCTGTGGAGTACGACCAATCGAACAAAAAACGTTTGGTTGCTAATGAGAATGGAAACGCATTTGTGTATAATGATGTCAACCTGACAACTTGCTTTCTTACCTGGATAGGCTGCATGTTCACATGTGACTAACTTAACGCATCAATTTATAAGCCACTTCTTAGTTTTTGCTGCCAATTTTTTTCATAGGAAAATATTAAGTAGTTAAGGAGACACATATTGAATAATAATATGTTAAGTGCAATCGAATATCAATTGCCATGTCTTTTTTATTCACAATTATTCAAATTAATGTGTGTAATTTGATGTTCAAACAAACTTATGTTGCATTTCTGATCATTAAACCAAAATCATGTCTGAAAAATTTAATTCAATTAATCTTTTAATCTGAATATCATTTAAAAAACAAATTTAGTTCAAAGTTACTTTCTTACAAAATAAAGATATAATTGATTATCGCTATAATATTTCTATATTAAAATTTAATTTTGTTTGACCAAATTACTTCTTTTGATCTCGGAATAAACGATTTAGACTGGCTTTACTTTCCAAAGTTAAAATTTTGTAAAGATACGTATATTATAGCTCTTATAGTATTTGTATATTCAATAAATGTAATCACTCATTTATGTGACATATTTGTGACTTTGAAAAGTTTATGCTATTATTTTTCTCCATTGAGGTGACATGAAATATCATTGATACGGTCTCTCGGTACATCTGAAGTATAAAACACTTATATATGGCTATTTCCCTAAAATTTATATCAGTCACAGGATTTCTATATTAGGAACATATATAAAAAAAACGCCTATTGTAAATGTTATAATGTTTTGTGATCACTTATCAACGTATCAGAAACTCGTCACTTAACGGCATCTTTTACACTTCTACAATTATTTGGAACCATGAATATTATTTTAACAAATCGTTATGGGTTCTGCGGAACCCTGTGTTTCGTCAGTATTGGGTGCTGTCAGTGTGAAAGTGTAATGTTGACCAAATAATTGAGTCCATTTATCAGTAAAATACAGAACCCAAAAAAAACTTTCTTTTGGGTGCTATTTCTTTGTCGTGTTAAAGGGGCACTAGCTGTCAAATTCATGTTCACCGATTTGACTCAAATTCTCATATAAGATTTAAAACAATGTAAAACATTCATCCACATTATAAAAAGTCTAAAATAAACAATTTACAGGTCATATGCTCGATAATATGTAACTTTGTTTCGTGTGTATTTTAGTCTAGACGCCATCTAATTAACAATCGAGTGCCCCCGAAAAACCCGATATAAACATTAACATAAATATAAACAGATATATAGACCTCGTGCAAATGGATTTTTCTATGTCTGTTTGATTTCAATTTTAATGATAAAAATATGTTAAGGTTCGATTTTACCTGTATAAGAATGATTTTTTGTGGATCGAATCAGTCAATCAAATGATTTACCTTTGTTTCACTTTCAATGTTGACATTCTTTTCTTTTGATAGCCTAACACGCATCAATCATGCATAATCCATCTCTAGCTAAGGTGTTAAATTGAAGTTCACATGAATACGGATTCAATGAGGTCGAATTATTCACTTGCAAGTGAATAGGTCAACATCAATGTTTCTTAGCTTATTTTGACAAAATTGAACCATACTGGCTGCTTATATCGAATTATTATTTCAATATTTTAATTTCATTAATGATTGAACAAAAAAAATCATAATTTAATTTTTCAGAGCTGTCTCTTAATGTTAACTGTAACAAACTGCGTCCATCTATAAAAAAAATACTGAAAATGAAAAAAATTTATTTTCAAAAGTTTGCTTCAGACATTATATCTTAATCATAAAAAAACATCTGCAAAAGTAACATTAAATTGTATGAAGGAATGACAGAGTAATTAATGTGTTACACACTTTAACCCAAGACTGTATCTACTTGTTAACTATAAAATAACTAGTAAAATCAGTAAAATACGGGAAAATCTAAATGAATATTTTCCAAATTTTGCAGACTCGACAAAAAGGCATACAATACCAAAATTGTTCAAGAAAGTTATTTAGGAATAACAGTACTGTAGTTTAAGAGTTGCCACCGTCAATTGGCGATTTGACGGTCGCAAATATATTTTTACCTGCGACGCGTAGCGGAAACAGTAAAACGGAAATTTGCGACAGTCAAATCAAAATTGACGGTGGCAACTCTTCAATTACAGTACTGTTATTACGATTCTAATGTATACAAAAAGAAATAATACGTTAGAGCTTGAACAAATGTATAAATTTGAAATAGAATAAAATTCCGCGAAACTTAATGAATGATTTTGGCGAAAAACGTCATGGCTTAACATGACGCCATACAAATGAAAACTTACAAACTGAGGGTTATTACGTTATCTCTATCTTGATAAACTCAAAACTAACGGCGATTTTGAGGTAGGTATTGTTTTATTTTCGATAGTATTGTAGTAATCGATCATTTTTTTTTTTATCCAATCAATTCAAAATGGCGGGTTATCGAGAAGGACTATCAGTTCCTTGTTAGATAACTAGAAATAAAAATATAAGATTATTTCAATTAAACATTTCATGTTTTGTATTGGTATCTTTATAAAACGGTATTTTTGGTATTATTGTGCAATGTACTGTCAAGTATTAAACGGTGCTTAATTAATAAGATTTAATCATTAGGCATTAAATCAAAATAATAAATTGAGATTGTCGTCTGCTAAACTAGAGTTAACTTTTCTTTAATTTTTAAGGACTTGATCGTCTTTCTTTTACTTACATAGTTTCATAAGCGGTTTTCGCGCTTTTATTTGATATAGAATTGCATGCTTTTCGTAATTTGTTCATTGCGTGATTTGAACTGAAGCAACACAAAAACACAAAAACCTATCCCACCCTTGAGAATATTTTCTGCTGTTTGATGTATATTTTTAGATATTGTCAAAAGAAGCGTCGTGGATTGGACAGAATGTGAACTGAATAAATAGTTTTACTGGATGGCTGAATTTATCACAGTTGGCGTCTGGTAGCCCAGTTGCCATTTGGAGAAAACATATGATGGTTGCCCTTCAATGTTTTTATCTTGGACATTAATGAGACATTGTCGATGGATGCAAATTCGTTGGCAGGTTGATTTATAGTTCAACTGTACTAATAAATCCATGAAAAAAAAAATGCCAAAATTCAAACTTACTATTTGTTGTTTTTTTTATTATGATTATTAATTAGCTTGTCTTACAATTTGTCTATAACGAAGGTAATCTGGAATCGTTGGAAATATTACGAGTGATTTCAATGAATTTGGGTTATCTTTAAGGTATATCGAATTCCTAAATTTACATCTGTTGGTTTCTTTCGAATATTCAATAAATATCTGGTATTTGTTAAATACAGCTTTATGTGACATTTGTTTTTTGGTTTATTGATTTTTGCTTCTTACAGTATTCTATTTTGTTTCGAATTTTGCTTGATTTGATAAACTATCATACATTTAACTATGTTTGTGTTACA